CAAAAACAATCTTAATATTATTGCAAAATAATATTCCTCGGCATTTTTCCAATATGCAACTCGATTTAAACACCCAAAATTGTGAACTTTTTGGTCAACATCATTGTACAAGGCCACTCTTAATGGATACAGAAGAGCGCCTTCAAATCAATCCGTAAACTTAATGTAAAATTCTGATACCACTATTCGTGCGTCACGGCAGTCATTTTGCATACCCGGCCATTAGAAGGCGTCTGATACAACTGGCGTTCAAGTTGTGTCATTGCGCCGTAAGAAATGCGACGGAAGATTGCAATTGAAATAGCCTCCATGCACCCTGGGCTTGTCGATTTCCTCTGAAATGTTTTCAGTGGTGAATGCATAGCTGAAGTGCGCTTCAGGTATAATTGTATTTACAAATGCGAGTGGTTTTTCTACGAGGATTAAAAATAAACAAGTGGCACGGAATATAACAAAAGAATATGAACTATGCGATAATCCGGGTATCGGAACTTGGCTGTTTTGAAAACGCCTTCAAATGCGATACCTCACGCATTCCGGAGAGTTCAAAGTGTTGTATCATTGCGCCTTAGAAATGGGACGGATGATTCCAATCGAAATAGCCTCCATGCACGCTGGGCGTGTCGATTTCCGTTAACATTTTTGCAGTCATGAATGCGCTTACGTGCGCTTCAGCTAGAATTGTATTTAGCAAATGGATGGTTTTTTTTAGGAGGATTATCATTAAACAAGTGGTTAGAATTAGAAACAAAATAATATGAACTATGCAAAACGATTATTCTGATAACGGAACTTGGCTCTTTTGAAAACGCCCTCAAATGCGGCGTGATACCTCACGCATTCCGGAGAGTTCAAATTGTTGTATCATTGAGCCGTAAGAATGTGACGGAAGATTTAAATGGAAATAGCCTCCATGCACCCTGGGCTTGTCGATTTCCTCTGAAATGTTTTCAGTGGTTAATGCGTACCTGAAGTGCGCTTCAGGTAGAATTGTGTTTTCAAATGGGTGGTTTTTCTACGAGGAGTAAAAATAAACAAGTGGCATGGATTATAACAAAAGAATATGAACTATGCAAAACGATTATTCTGATAACGGAACTTGGCTGTTTTGAAAACGCCTTCAAATGCGGCGTGATACCTCACGCATTCCGGCGAGTTCAAATAGTTGTATCATTGCGCCGTATGAATGTGACGGAAGATTTAAATGGAAATAGCCTTCACGCAGGCTTTTCACATCCCATCTCGGGCTTGGTACCAGTTTTAAGGTCCGGCCCCAAGCACGGAGGGGGGGGGGAGGGGCGTCCGAGGGGCATCATCCGAGAAATGTTAGAATTTATACGACTGATTGGACGCATTTTGAAGCTTCCATAAAGAATTTTTCCATCAATTTCTGCGGAATAATTATGTTTTTTTTATACTCTCAGCACAAAATACTTGCGAATTGTTGCATTCAAAACATCTGGAAAATTTTATTTATTTTTTTTTTTTGGGGGGGGCATATGATACTATTTTTAGTTCTATGAGGGCCAGGCCCCCCTGGACTCCCCCTTCGTTAGTCTATGGCAAGGGCGTTGAGCCATGAGCCATTGAAGTCGAGGATGCCCAGACTGAAGACCCTTAGCATCTGAAGACGGAAGGAAATGAAACGCATTTACTAATAATATCCCTCTGTATTGAAAATCTTGAAAATAGATAGCAATTTTCCAAGAAGTATACTTCTTAGAAAATTTTAGAAGAATTCTACAGTGCCCCAGCGTGTTTCTGAAAATCTATTCACCTTTTGCGAAATTTGTAGGGTAAATTTTTCACTTTTTCTTACGAAACCAGGGTTGCATGTGAATTCGTAGAGGTCTTTCACGGGTAACAAGGGGCCCCTCCGGGACCCGGGCCCCGGTACTAGGGACCCAGTATCCCCCCCTTGTGGCGGGTCTGGTGTTGCCTACACCATAAATTGAAGGCGAACTTATATGAAATCGAAATAACCTTCTCCGGTTTTGGGAAAAGTCGATTTTTGAATCGCAATTTTGGTCGATTTTTTGCCAAAAGTCATTGTGTCTATAAACGCCGATCGAGACCGTCTAGATGACTATTATGGTAGATTACTCTCATTTCTCCTGGAAAAAAAATTCACCCATAGAATTAATGCATTTTTGATCAACACTTTAACAAACGTATGGTATGAGTCCCTCGATCAGTGTTTCAGTTCTAATTTTTATTTTTATTGTTGTTTTTCTAATTGTTAGTCAGTATTATATTTTTTGCTTCGGTAAAACATTTTTGGAACAAAAACCTAATCACCGGTGCAACTATAAGAGACATTTTGAGTGTAAGTTATACTTATAGCCAATGCTGAAAATGTACATATTATAAGCTGGGGTAAATCGATTTTAAGACTACTAAACCACTTATCTCGGTTTGCTGTTTTGAAAATCTCCTATCATATTTGATTCCCTTGAAGCAGGCCCGACTATGATTTTAGCACAATATTAATTTGAATTTCTTTATTTCTTCCAAAATAAGTATTCCCTGAACATTTTGCCAAGAAAACTCGAGCTGTTTTCTCTTTAAATACAATATAACAGCGGGCATTTTCAAACACTGCATTTGAGATCAGTCGTATAACAGTTATTACACCATCTAGATAATTGCTTATCACGTGCGCTGTTTTGTAACGAAAATTGACTTTCCGCACCAGGAATCGCGAAGATACTGAAACAGAGAGAGAATAGATGCGTATAGGTTGACCATACGGAGTATCTTTGAGTGTGGATCACCTTCAGGTCCTCTAAACAGGAATTGTTGTCGATTTGAGAAAATAATAGGATTTCGTCCGTGCGGATGGACTTAAGATATGGAAATTTATACGCTCAACATTTCTACTGCTTGCGGGAGGCGAGACGCAAACCTACCAATGTGGAGAGCATTGACGCACAACGCACAGTGATTTGGATCTACTGAACATTTGAACGTTTGTGGTCCATGCCACTATTTTGAGGAGAGGAAATTCAAAACCGGATAAGTACCATCAGGTGCACTGAGAAACACATTTGTGTTCTTGTGTTACTGTAGGTTACCACAGGAAGTGAAACACAAACCAGCCCGAATTTTGTGTTGATTTTGGTTCAGTTCGCGGTGAATTGAGCGCAGAATGCTATGGAGGAGACTGGGAAACCCCAGAGATAACCGAAGGCTTGGGTTATTCTGTGTTTTACTTCCGGTATTTACCAAACTTTTGTGTTGAGTTTTCTCTCTGCGTGTTATTATTTTCCATGGATTTCCTTACTGTGCTGTAAAAGAACCTGAATACCTACGCCTTATGGACTTTTTATCAGAATATTTCCTGTTTTGGGTATTATCTCCATAACAGAATTTGTATTCTCGTACAGGGCTATATGGAATAAACAGTTTCAAAATTTTAACAACACTGGAAGAAAAAACACATTGTATCTAGAGTCCGGACTCTTGAAAACATTGACAAGAAAAAAACACTCTTGATTCAATCAGATTCAAGCTTAAATCAAAAGGAAATATGCTCAAATTAAGAGGCTTGGTTCTTGATTTAAGTTTAAATCTGATTGAATCAAGAGTATTTTTTCTTATCGATGTTTTTAAGAGTCTGGACTCTAGATCCAATGTGTTTTTTTTCCAGTGAACGCTTAATGGTGCTTACCTGATTTTGATTTTCCTTTCTTTACGTGTGACGTTTAAGGAAAGATAAACCCTCTTCAAATTTAGCAGGCCATAAAAATTAGTCCACAGTGGGTACCGTGAGGACCATTGGTGAGGCGTGAATGATCGATTATATCGATATTATCCCATTTGAAGCTCATGAAGATTCGATTTTTAAGTTGTTCACTGCGAACACCCGGTTCATTGATCTTATTCCGTAGGTTTAACTGACAGATAAATCGACATATCGCAAAGTACGCCACGCCACTGGTGAGGATCGTTTACCATTTCACAGAGGCAAGTGGGAAATCTTACCATGTATGAAGAGCCACACTTAAAATTTTGATGTGAAAAATTCAAATATAAAGTCAATTTTTGTATACAGTTCCGAATATACGAAAATGAAATTAATCTCTTTTTGTGGTCGAATTTTCCGTTGAAAATTATTATTTTCATAGTTGAAACTTCCAGTCATAGTTGTAACCCTGGAATTCCGCCAGAAATACCGCCGTTCTAAGGCCGGTTCTACTACCCCCCCCCACCCCGTTTCGAATTCGTCCTCTAGTTAGAATTCGAAAAGCACTCCGGCTACCTGTTAAATTTAAACCGGAGGTGAGACTCTTAGTTCCAAAATGTTCCATACACCAGTACATTCGGAACAAAAATCATACAAGCCTCGAGACCCCAAAAGTGACGTTGAAAGTTTTCCTGTGACAGTGGTGGTAAAATCGACCCTTAGAAAGAAAGCCGCATGAGCTGTCGGAGTTGCTAAGTTATTCCTTCGATAAAATGTTCATTTTTAAGTGCCTCTATAAACATTTTTCCTTGATAGTTGGAGAAAATGCATAATAAGATCCCATAATTGCATGAGCTAATCGCCAATTTCGGAGAAAAAACTTACATTCCACGGTATTTTTTATAAAAGAGACAGCTGGGGTCGAGTTATTTACTTCTTTTTAAAAAATTGGAGATCAGACTCCTAATCCCCCCCCCTCAACCATTTGTTGATTTGATGCAAGTTTATACCACCGAAGACTGAAGCCAAGAAACTATTAGTTGCTTTCTTGCAACGGTATGTAATAAATTGCGAAGAAATGATCAAAATTAAAAAAAATTACATGAAAAATTAAAAGAAACATTCTAACGAGTTTTCCAGAGAACTTGTGTTTTATCAAAGAAAATAAGACAACGTCCGAAGGTTCTTACGGCGTTCTTCCTCAGCACGGGAGAATATTTTTAAGTATTTTTCTGAGACTTTACAACACTGCAAACCGCTGATGGTGTGTGGTGGGGGTGGGATCTGCGCTGACCAGTCGCGGTTCAAGATAATCGCCAAGTTCAAGAGCACCGAGTCAAGCAACGGTGGTCGAGCTTCAGCGCTTTTATTTACGTTAGCTCGCTCTCACAATCAGTTTTATCCGTGGAAATCCGGTGGAAAATGTCACGTGCAGCGTTCCTCATCTGGTGATCCCACAGGCTTACTCAAAATAAAGACAATCCAAGTAAGTTATCGTAGTATTCCGTGATAGCATTAAGTCTCGAGTTTAGAGTGCTGCATGAGACTGAGCCAATGAACTCCTCACGAAGGAGGAAACTTTTCTTTGGTTTTTAGTTTGGGTGCAGTGAATTTATGGGGGTAGTATTAATTTTAATAGCACAACAAAAAACGAGTTTGTTTTCAAAAATTTAATTTTAAACTTTAAAAATAGATGAACATTTCTAGGAAAGAATTGAGGGGCTTGGATGACAAAGCGCATGAGTGCAGATTTTGCTGTTTCGAGAAATACGTGTTTGAGGTTTCGAAATTTCATGGATCCTTATGGCGGAAAGGAAGTTCAAACTGACTTTTTGATGCTTAAAAAGTGGAATATGGGAGCGACCTCTCCACAAAATATGCATTGAGACTGTGGTTTTACTTGAAATTATGAATACCTCATTTTTTTCAAAAACTGCACTGATGCCCTTTATCCTTCAATTAGGAAATGTTTTTAAACAATTTTAGAAAACAACTAAGGCATTTTAAGTTCTGGTAGACCTTTCTAAAATTTTGAAACATTGATTTTCAATGCACTTAAAACCAGCCCTTACGATTTTCGTGGGAGCAAATCAAGTGTCACTCCTGTAAGTTCAGTGGGAGATTGAAAATTTCTCGAGCGAATGAAACATTTATAAATCAAAAATCAAAATAGGGTTGACTAAACCGACAAGAAAGGCACAGAGCAGTCAAGGTTTTGAACATCAAAGTAAATTCTACATGTGTGCTAGGAAATCGTTTCTCCTCTGATGAAATTTGAAAGTAAAAAAGTACTTTTATAATTCATTGGGGTCACCATGTAAATTTTACTTGAAAAACAGAGTTTATTATGAAAATTTTTAAGGCAAGGGTCGCTGCTGAAAGTTGGAAGGTTAATTAAGAGGCCTTGGAGGGCAGGGCGCATAAGTGCAGTTTTTGCTATTTCGAGAACTACCTACGTGTTTGAAGTTTCAAAATTACATGGATCCTCATAATGGGAAGGAAGTTCAAACTGACTTTTTGATGCTTAAAAATTGGAATTTGAGAGCGAATTTTTCACAGAATATGCTTTAAGACTAGTTTTACTTGAAATTATTAATATCTCAATTTTTTCGAAAACTGCACTTATGCGCCTTGTCCTCCAAGCCCCTCAATTCACCATTCAGTTGATTACTAATACCCATGTACATATACTTTATCCGAATGAAAAACTATTGAAACGCGCACTATGTTACCTGCGGCCTACCTATGTCAATGAAGGCAAATGAGCAAAAGAGGCCGATGAGATCTTTACCTCTGACATTTTATGGTCATTAAGAGTCTCTCAACGATAAGTTTCGGATCAGAAATTGCCTCTGAATTGTTATAGCTTTAAATGCACATGTTTGATTCGCTGCATCATACTTGCAGAACTGGTCTTCAGAGGATTATTGGATTATTCTTGTCGACGCATGGACGGATCTAATGACACAAGTCAAGAAACTTAGGAAAAGAGACTGAAATATTTTCACATTATTTAACTATGGTGAGTATCAACTATTTGCTTATATGTCTCGTTTACTTTTCTGGAAAAATCTTGAGCATCTATCACACTTTGTATCATGGATCATAAAATTCTTCAAAGTACATACGTGAACAAAAAATTATCTTAATTTTTTAAGGTCTTCGTTAGAGCTAAAACTACGCACTATTGTAATAAAAATGTCTCTAAATTATTTTGATGTTTTTTTCGCTCTGCAGCATTTGGAATTAGTTTTCTTGACGGGAAGATTGTGAAAAGTATATACAATGATTTAATTACACGAAAATATATGCATACTTTGGGGACAAAACATTATCCTTCAAATTTTAGGATGTTGGGTGGAGTGTGATGCAGATTATTTATTTTACTTTTTCCCTCTGCTGCAAAAAACTAAAAAACTAAAAAAAAAATGGAGGTTAAATTGTTTAACCATGAACTTCCATATTATTCATTTACTGACAATCGAAACCAGCTTCATTCCGGTAAGGAATCGCTTCAAGGAACTTCCGACATTTTTCTAGGTGACTCCTTTAATTGTGCATAATATGACTAACCTAAGTGTAATCTCATCGCTCCTTACCGTGGCTTAAAAATTTCAAAAGGATAATTTTGAAGTCAAATGGAAGAAAAAATAAAATCAAAATTCAAGGAGCACAATTATATAAAAATTGCAAGCTATAAGATTGATACTATTTCATTATTTTCCCAGCAATTTTTCCTTGCATTGCATGTATCTACTATTTTTAAATATCTAAAAAAATTCATAACAATTATTATTTTATGGTTTCCCTGAAAAAAACGACGTGGCTAGAGCGGTAATGATTACACTTTGCAATATACACTCAGGTCTGTCCCCCCTTTTTTTTTCCTCAGTAACTTATAGTTTGACAGTGAAACTCTCAAACCACTATCTGAGAGTATACGTTTCTGATCTAAGTATCTGAGTATCTACGTACCTATCTCGGTATACTTCCTGTAAAACTTTACAGTTTAAAGGAAGTACAACTCAACGTCAATTCTTTAAGACCTCCATGTTTCATACGCTCTGTAAATTCTGAGGAAACTTCAACGAATGGTGTTGAATTGTTCTCCTTCGGAAAAAATAAAGAGAGCGGAGATTTTGAAACAGCGCCATTGGGGATACACGGTTTAGGAGTTCCACCGTTGGGTTGTATTTTTGTTGACTTCACTTTTAAGCATAAATGAAAAGAAAGAGAATGGAAAAATTCTGAAAATAATCATGTTGAACATCGATATAATATGCCCCCCTTGAAGGGGAAAAAAGATCAAGGTTAAAGCCAAATTAGAGCACGATGCGATATTGGGTTCTTTCACCATGACCGCTTCTATTTTATTCAAACCAAACAACGTAAATCAATCATTATCTGCATAAACTGACACAAGAATTGTGAGGAGATAGACGTTGTTCATTTTTTGTGAACTTTCAATGAAAACAAGAGTTACTTAATTCTGATAACTTGTATTTTTCACCTTAATGATTGTGCACTCTTTAAGTCTCGTTTTTTTAGGCATTAAATACACTATATATTTAGCCTTCTTTTACTACTACTATTACTACTGGTTTTATTTTTCTCCGCAATTATTATTTTGCAATGACGATTCTTGAGAGTAGGCGATGCTGTTCCCCTCCATTTAAACGTATGTAAAACAATCGATCCGTGGCGTGGCGTGCTTTGCGATATATCGATTGTTATGCCATTCAAACCTATGGAAAAGGATCAATAAACAGGGTGTAATCAGTTCTTTGCCATAGGTTTAAATAGCATAACAATCGATACGTCGCAATTCACGCCACGCCACTGCAATCGATTTTAGGTAAGGTAGCTTGCTTGCCTCACTTAGAAACTATATTTTTAGGGGATTTAAATAGAAAATAATCGGCGTTGCCAACTAGAGAGTATTGCCACTGTTATTATGATTTGTTCACGAATATTTTTTCTTCCCTTTTTTAAACATAATACGTGCACCACAAACCTTCTCAACCAGCCTGTTAAATTAAAAAACTCATGAAGTATCACTACCATGTCATAAATCCGAAATCACTATTGAGGACTTCTCTTTTTATTTAGCCCTCTCCCTCCCTCTGCCATAGAAAATTCGTGTGAAAATTGTGAATTTTTAAATTTGCAATCAAAGGATGGTGTACTAATACCTATGGTGAATACATACGCTTTACTAAACTTATAAAAAACAATAAAAAATGCTGAAATCATACATTGAGGAAAAGTCAAACACATCACAGGGGTATTGAAGAAAAAAAAAAAAAAAAAAAAAAAAAAAAAAAAAAAAAAAAAAAAAAAAAAAAAAAAAAAATGCGACAAAAATGTACCCCAAAACGGTTTGCTGATTGTGAGCCTATGGTATGTGTGGTCTTAAAGTCGCGAAAACTCGAAATCTTAACTGGCCCTATACTTTCAAGATACCTATCGCAATTCGAAATTTTCATAGTAAATGCAAGCTTTAAATGATTTTCTAATGAGTCCATTGAATCGGTGTTGATCTGCTCACGTTTTTACTTTTCATCCGATTCATGTCGATCGAATGCATACCTTCTCGTTTTATGCAAACTGCCTCATACTCATACTACATCATACTCTGTTTTTCTATGACTGAGCAATTCGCCTCCTGCTGCGTCCGCAGCAACTGTTGTCACGAATACGTTGTGCGAGCTGATTTCAGCTCATTATATTCTTGGTTTTCTGATGAAGTTTTATGTGCAAAAGCGATTCGCCTTCAGCTGCACCTGCAGCAATTGTTGTTGCGAATATGCTGTGCGTGATTATTTCAGCCCATTACATACTCGACTCTCTGAAGGCGCTTTATGTGCGCAAGTAGCGCAGTCTGTCGGAGAGAGAAAGAAGTAGGGATTGAGTGATTCATTCCATCTCCCTTCTGTTGTCCTCCGACAGGGTGCTCTACTTGCGCAAATAGAACGCCTTCAGAAAGTCGAGTATGTAATGCGCTAAAATCAGCACGCACAACATATTCGTAACAACAATTGCTGCGGACGCAGTTGAAGGAGGATTGAAAACAACCGTGTAATGCGCGCTAAAAATTTTTTAGCCCCTTGATAAAAATTGTTACCAATAGAGAGTTGTATTTTATGGTCTTTTCATGGGGGATTCTCGAACAACTTTTCAACATAAACTAAGTTTATATGCAAAATAAAATATACCGCGCAACAAATTTTCAGTCGAACGGGAAGTTTAGCCTGAACTTTCCGCCAAGACTGAGGAGGCGCCAATCACAATGTTCTTGAAGCAAAAGAAAAATGCAACAAGAGGTACCCAAAAACGGTTTGCAGGGGCCAAATCTATGGTACGTGTAGCGTTGTTAGTGCTTCAAAATTTTACTTAGGAGACTTCCGCAACTTAGCTCCGACCGATTTGCCAACCCTAGTAGCAGAACCAAAGAAGGAAAAGATAAATATTATGTACGAAAGTTAATTTTTTTTATATTATGCATGCATACAAAAGTGTTAAAAGTGAACATTTTTATGTAACCATTATAGAAAAAAATGTTATAATTTTTGTGAGCTTTTCGCGAGCATACTAAAAATTCCTCTAATTCGCGAAAAGCTCACGAAAATGATGACCTATTTTTTTATATAATCGTTACATAAAAATGTTCACTTTTAACACTTTCGTACGCATGCGTTATATAAAAAAATAAAAAGTGTGTGTATACAAACAATTACCTTATCCAGCTTTTATTATTTTTCATATATTAAGGTCAGGTCTGAACTTTCATTTTTTTTTATGTAAGCGTTACACGTGTTTTATATAAAACGATCATTTAGATAACAGATATGTTTTTTATACTTTTTTTAGAAAAACAAAAATTTGTTCTGCTACTGGGAAAAACGTCATTTTCATCCATAAATTCGAGACTTCCTTCTACATGTCTTATCATGACGTGGATTTTTAATGATTTAGAGGAATAAATTATTTCTCCAGAATAGAAAAAAATTCTCTCCGTGGCAACAAATTGTCATTCCGAAGAGAAAATATTTTTCTCCGGAATACTAACTAATTTCTCCGGAGTGAAAATAAATCTCTCCGTAGCACTAAGTAATTATTGATTCGGAGAGAAAATTAGTTTGCTGTGTCAAAAAATCTCCGCTCCTATTTTATTTTTTTGAGGGAGAATAAATCAATATCATTTCTTGAAGTTTTCACAGAGTTTCTTTTTCGCACAGAGAAGACAGCTCGAGTAAGTTGGTCCGAGATACTTGGTATAATGGTTTCACCGTTGGAGTATCTTCATCGCACGTTCCAAAATATACGTTTTCCTGTTGTTACGAATATGTTGTGCGTGCTGACTTCACTTCATCACATTCTTGACTTCCTGTGGACGTTGTATGTGCGAAAGCGATGCGCCTTCAGCTGCGCCTGCAGCAATTGTTGTTAAGAATATGTTGTGCGTGCCGATTCTAGCCCATTACATACTCGACTCTCTGAAGGCGCTAAATCCCTACTTCTTTTGTTCTCCGACAGACTGCGCTACTTGCGCACATAAAGCGCCTTCAGAGAGTCGAGTATGTAATGGGCTGAAATATGCACGCACAACATATTCGTAACAACAATTGCCGCAGGTGCAGCTGAAGGCGAATCGCTTTCGCACATAAAATGTCTTCAGAAAATCAAGAATGTAATAAGCTAAAATCAGCACGTACAACATATTCGTAACAACAATTGCTGCAGACGTTACAGGAGGCGTATTGTTCAGTTTTAGAAAAACTGAGTATGATAGGTAGTCTGCATTTAACGAGAGGGTATGTATTCGATCGACATGAATCGAATGAAAAATATAAAAGTGAACCGACCAACACTGATTCAATGGACATATAAAAGAAATCAGTAAAACACTTGCATTTACTATGAAAATTTTAAATTCAGCAGAATCAAGAGGAAACTTGCATTTGCATTTGATATCACTGAGTAGATACGAAATGAAGGATAGGAAGTAAATGGGGCGGATAAGATGTAGAGAAAGAGAAAAGGGAATTGGGGGTGGCATAAGAAAGGGGTAGCGGATTGAGTAAGCGTAGAGTAGACATAGAGGGGTGATAGGAGTAGCAGACACGCCCAGCATTAGAAACCTTTAGCGTTATGCTAACCTATTATGAGATTATATCACAGAGTTTGATTTTCGTATTTTCATCTCTCTCTCTCCCTGTTTTCAGGATATCCGTCTTGCAGTGATTTTGGCTGTATCATTGACGATATTAGGTTCAGCATGGGCGAACAGGGACGAAGAAAAGGAGCAAAACACAAGATCCGGTTACAACCTCCGCGATCGAAATCGCAACGACGCGAATAATTCTGATCGATCGGAAAGTAACAGTCGTGAATCGGAGAATGATCGGAATCGTAGAACCAGTTGGAGCCACGGATCGAATCGCGATACTGGAAGCGATCGGAATCGAGGATCTTCCTACGGCCAAGGATCCGGAACCGGTTGGAACCAGGGGTCTGATCGCAACAACGGAAACGATCGCAATCAAGGATCTGGAACCGGTTGGAACCAGGGATCTGATCGCAGCAACGGAAACGATCGTAATCAAGGATCCGGAACCGGTTGGAACCAGGGGTCTGATCGCAATAACGGAAACGACCGTAATCAAGGATCTGGAACCGGTTGGAACCAAGGGTCTGATCGTAACAACGGGAATGATCGCAATCGCGGAAACGGCTACGGCCAGGGCGTAGGATCTGATCGTAATAACGGAAATCAAGGAAACAGTTGGGGTCAAGGATCTAATTTTAATAGCGGCAACGATCGCAATCGAGAAACCGGTTCAAGCAACAGTTTTGGCACAAACCAAGGCTCTTACGGCAATAATGGTAATGATCGCAATCGTGAAACCGGTTCAAGCAATAATTTCGGGACAAACCATGGATCCCACGGGACTAACGGTAATCGTGAAACCGGTTCAAGCAGTAGTTTCGGGACAAACCATGGATCCCATGGGACTAACGGTAATCGTGAAACCGGTTCAAGTAATAGTTTCGGCGCGAATCAATGGAATATCGGTAATTCATACGGAGGGCACCTTGGTAGTAGTGGTGGCAGCAACGGTGGCTTTAGTTCAAGTAACAGTTTCGGCACCAACCAAGGGTCCTATGGTGGCGACCGGAATCAAGGGAATCAGAGCAACAAACCGCCGAAGGATAAAGTCAACTTCCCCGGACTAAACAATAAAGACGTCAAAGGTGAGTAAACCTCAAATTAGTAAACAAATAATTAGAACTGGAGCAGTTATAGTATGTTACGGACAGAGTGCAATCATGGCTTTTGTAAAACCGCAGGAAACATGCCGGTCGAAAAGCAAAATTTAATTTTTATAGATTTAAATGGATGTAAACTTCACTGGAAGAAGGCTGGTTTCACTTTAATAGATTACGATTGTAAGTACGTATGTGATTATGTTTTAGACTGGGAGTGATCACTGATCAGTGGTGGCCACACGCGCCGAACTGCGACGTTAGTGGGTGAAGTAACTCCTTCTAATCGTAGGGTATGCAATTGTGAATCAAATAAACTCAAAGTGACTTTCGAGTCTTCGCACTGTTTTCCTTAAGGATGCCGCCAACACCGTTCATGGAAGAAAAAGTGTGAAGCACATTGTGCTTATTTTGATCCTCGTGCCATCATCACCTGATTTTTATACCATTTTTACTTTTTAACTCTTTCTCTCGTCGAAGATATTATACATCTTTAAAAAACCAAATGTAAATACGAATACCTATGACTACTGTCGAAAAAATTTTGTCATCAAGAGTATTATTTATTTTCAAATCCACAACCCACATCCCCCATTCTTCCATCTTCAAAATGGACGATTGTATCGTAAAAGCGAAGAATTCACATCGGTTAGTTTTTATTTTAAGGGAGAGTTTGCAAACTTTCGGCAAAAAAATTTGAGGAAATTTCATTCAGGAGTAAATAAGACATGTCTTAGTCACCTTTACAGCTCAAAATACACTTAATTTAAAACATTATAAAATTAAGTGTATCCATGGGAAAGTATGGTACTTTGCAGAGCACTTTATTGTGAATCCGTTCATCATCAGTGATACCATGACAATGTAAGCACGACTGTCAAGGGGTTGCATATCCATTTGTTTGAAGGCGATTTACGCACATTCGTTAAAAATATACTTATTTCAACCCTCTCCGTATTTTACTCTTTCCCCCATTGAGTTTGTGTTTTTAGCGAGAAGCATTCAACACGTGACTTTTTTAAATTCAATTTTGCAGAACAACTTGTGCGAGCATACTGGCCGTGGATCGATGAAAAATTCCCCAAACCAGTTCAGTCTCCTGTCGACATCAGCACCGTAAATGCCAAAAAAGAGAACCTCCCAGATTTTGAATTCGAGAACTATTGGGAGAACAGGAAGGAGATTGTGAGGCTACGAAACGACGGACATACCGGTAAGACTAATAATCATTTTTACGATGATTTTTTACGATATATATAGTGATAGCAAAACCAGGGAAACACAAACTCTATTTTTTGTGGGCGGTACACAATATCTGTTATATTCTATTTCTATTATGTAGGACAAATCAACCAATGAATTTTGTTTTCCTGATATTAAGTCAATTTTCTTTCTTCTTTTAATGAGAGAATAAATCATAAATGCTTTACTTCTCTTTTTTTCATGAATGCATAGAATTTTAACCTCTGGAATCGAAATACAATTTTTTTGGTCTACCATGGTATTATATCGACAGAGTACGTCCGCGACCACGTATCTCGGTTTGCGACATGGCAGACTTTCTGTCATACTTCATTTTTTAAATGGAAGACTACCTTCCCAGCGGCAATTCCTAAAAAACTGCCGTGATTTTTCTTCTCTGAACGAAGAAAATTTTGAGAAAACTTTAAGGAATGATGTCGCTTTGTTCCCTTTTTAAATAATAAAACAAGAGAGGAGATTTTCAAACACCTCAAACGAGGCACGTGCAAAGCAGACTTACACCGTCGATATATTATAGTCTTTTGAAATGACTGCAAAATATTTTTTCAGACCGTAATCAGCAAAATCCATGCACATTTAGGTAAATTCCTCAACGGAAATATTGACATGAATTTGCAATTCAATGCAATAAAACTGAAATTCTAAGTTCCAAGTTCCAATTCTAAGAACAGCACACCCATTGGTCAATATGATTTTTCCATTCTCATAACATGATTATTTTTTGTTATAGTTCAAGTCACAATCGCAGATGACGTTTATGAGGAAGATAGGCCATTCATCAGTGGCGGTCCATTAAAAGACGACTATCTCTTCGATGGAATGCACCTGCATTGGGGGAAAACTGACGGGGATGGCAGCGAACACACGCTAAACGGCAGGACGTAAGATTTTTTTTCCCTTCTTCAAAAATCACGGATGTTTGGATAGCACTAACAACAAGCACAAGGGATCTATGCTCATTGGGTTTTCACAAAAAGAGCTTACCATTTTTCATTACAACCCATATTTTATTAGAACACATGAAACAGACGGCTTATTTGCTTAAATTGTTTAGGGGTCCATTCAGAATCTAAGCTGTAAAATCTCCAATTAACTTTTTAATTTTTGATCCGTCGTGCGTTAGGAGCAGTTGCAAGACGTTAATGATCGGTTATCGATATTTTCCCCCGTGAAAGCAACGGTAAAGAATCTATGGCAATGAAATGCTATGGTAAAGAATCGATTAGTAAGGTATTACTTATTAGTTCCAAACCTCAAGTTTATCGATCCTTTTCCATGAGTTTCAATGGCAGATCAATCTATACATCGCAAAGCACGCCACGCCACAGGTTAGGAGATGATAAAACTGAGCGGAAAAGTCGGAGAGCAAGATTAATACGTGGCCAGGAGCCGCGTCGCGATGGAATTCAAAGATTTTGAAAATTATGAAAACAAGCACGGTGAGACAGGATACAAATCAACGTGCTCCTAAGTCGAGAACTTGTCTACCACTCACAGTGAAGGCGAACATATGAGTGCACTATAAGGATGTCACCCCAGCGCGCAGCGGCCGTATTCAGTGGCGTACTTACATGCGTGAAGCACAGCAAAACATGATGCAAATCAACGTGCTCTGAAGTCGAGATATCGCCTACCTATGCTAAGTGAAGGCGGACATGTGAACGCACCGTAGAAGCTATGTAAAACGTCCGACGACGACAGTGTAGTGCGAGGAAAATCTGGAATGTTCAAGTGTCCAGAAAACTTACCGTCAAGCAACTTAAAATTGGATGAAACAAGAAACTTGTTGTTCTCTTCCAGTGAAAGTAGCGTTTTCTCATGTTTAATTTGGTGCATAACCATTTTTGAGCGATGATAAACACATCAGTGCGCGTAATTTAAGCTCAGCGCAGAAACACGCACTTTCTACCGGCGGACGTTTTGCGCCAAGAGGTTCGCCATCACTCTGCGTACGTAGGCAATTTCGCGACTTGGGAGAACTTTGATTCGTATCTTGTTTCGCCGTAGTTTTTTCCATCAATTTCATAATTTTTGATCTTCATCAAAACGCGGCGCCTTCGCACCTATCATCTTCACTCTCCGAGTCTTACGCTCGGTTCCATCTCACATAAAAGTAACTAAAAAATGTTCTTATTTTAATTGTTACACAGCATATCGACGGTATAATTTGACAATCACATATCTCGTTTGCGATGTCTGAAAATCTCCGCCTCTATGTTATTTTTTTAAAGGAGAACAAATTGACATCATCCTTGAAGTTTTTGCAGAATTTTCTTCGCACAGAAAGGGAAAATCCCGGCAGTTTTAAAGAATTGCCGTTGAGTAGTTTTCCGTTTAAAAAATAAAGGATGACAGGAAGTCTGCGATGTCACAAACCGAGTTATGTGATTGCCGACGAACACCGTCAATACATTCAAAGTTGCACCATCTTTAATGATATTGCAAGGCTGATTCGACTGATTCGCAGTACTCACTTCTGAAAAAATCTTCTATCGTGATAGTACTCTTATTCCAATTATACCAGATGTGCGCGTGAAATTGGTCCTCGTTCATTTTTAAATTGTCGGTGCACTTTAGAACAAGTGCAACATCACAGTCATCTGTGTCAACGAACTAATGAGAGTCAATTTTAGCGTTAGTGGCGTGGCGTGCTTTGTGATACATCGATTGCCCTGCCATTCAAACCTATGATACAGGATCGATAGACGGGGTGTTCGGAACGAACACCTCAATAATCGATTCTTTACCGTAGCTTCAAATGGGGCGATACCGATAATCGATCATTCACTCCTTGCCACTGAATTCTAATGTAGGTTATCGCCACTTGTTTTAGGGACTTCTCACAACCAACGTTACTGAAAAACTCAAAGATTTCAATACTTTTAAAGTGGATTTTGAAACCGTTTAGTTTTTATCTTTAAGAACTTGACAAATTATGTTCTAAATAATGAAAACTCTGAAAAAGAAATGCAAACTTGCCTATTTTTCATATTTATATATCATGATAGCTCCACTTTTTTTAACACTGCTGATTTTTTATTTCCGCAGGGCCAAAAATCACCAAAAAGTTGTGCTTTAGCTCGACGAATAGAGAGCTTGGATAAAAAATAAATAGCGTCAACAACTGGCTACGTTGAGAATTTGTTGCCACTTTCATCCTTTTGACCCTTTTTGTTGGTCTCAAAGTTGATAATTTTTAATTAAATTTTCCTACTTTCTTCCAAATTCTCTCACCGGTGTATCTGAAAAGTTTTTTTTGGCATTTCTCTAATTCCCTTATTTGGTTACAGTTTTTCAACTGAGATGCACATAGTCCACTTTAAGAAGGAATATGGTAGTTTGGCGAACGCACAAAAACACTATGACGGCATTGCAGTGGTGGCTTTCTTTGGCACTGTGAGTAACTACAGCTCCTATCAATTATTTGAAAATAATTTATTTTGTTCTTTTTTATGATTTTTATTATGTCCTTTTTTATGAGATTTTCTGCTTAATTTTAAGCGTAAGGATGTTTTTCTCTAAGTTTGAAATTTTGTAGTTAAGAAATTGAGTTAGATAGTGGTCAATGGAGACATATTTTAACGGTGGGTCGTACGTCATGCCATAAAATCGTGTTCTGATGTTTTAATTATATAAATTAGCCAAATATAAGGAAATCTGCTCAAACCACGTTTTTCTGTCTAATATATGTTATAATAGTCCAATACCAACTTAGTTAGTTGGTTAGTTAGCATATTTTAAGACATTCAGCGTCACAGGCTATAAACGTCTTTACAGAGAATTTTGAAACTCACAAGCACAGAAAAAGACAGATGTATGCACGAAGCAGAGCCGTTCATAAAGCACGTAACGTATACGTACACCTCGGATTTTTACACCCCCTTTTCCCCTCATACCGCTTTTTGGGAGATAGCGTTGTTTCCCCCACAAAAGAACGTAACTATATTTCAATGTTGCCGAATTTCCACTTTAAAGTGCATTTTCACTAGGAGAATTTTGGACATTTCGAACTGAAAATTTCACCGATATTGCTTCTAATCTAGTCATGTGAATTCCAGAAAAATTTTGGACAAAAACAGCATCGGCACATTCTTATACAACAGTTGAATTGTTCGTGTCAATTTTGCATCGTTCGAATGGAGTGACGTTTCTTCGTCTGGAAAACGACGAAGGGTCCTTTAATGATCGTATTCGATAGTGGCTCGATGTATCGTTTGGTTCAAAACTATAGAACATGACTTCAAACAAAAATTGTAGGATTTAAGTAAGAAAAGCTGAAAATGAGAAAATTCCTAACAATTTCACTTTCCATTACCATTTCATACTCATAAGAATCAAAAACCTATCCCAAGAAACCCGTTCCCTCAGATTATGTACTCAATTGACTTTTGGGGCTATGTTTACATGTTGAACCAATCGGTATCGATACAATCTCACCTGTTTGATGTATCTGTCGAAGGCAAACAGTCAAATCAGGCATTTTGTCAGATGCCTGGGCAAACAGTCAAATATTTTTACTTAGATTGAAATTTTCATTTTTTACCCTAATTTTATACAAAATAATTTGTTGCTCCTGTAAGAAAGAATTCTCTGTAAAAATATGCAGCATACAATAGTATTTTAAACGGTTTTAAGATCCTGAATGCACATTTTTCTTTCAGCACGTCATAAAACATGGAAATTTTTAAAATTTTAAAATTTAAATGTTTTAAAGGCATTTAAAAACGAAGGAACAAGGGAGAGTTCGCGACTTTGAAGAGTTACTCTTCCCAAAATATTGAAATCCCGTGAACTCCTCGCCATAAATTTACAGAATTCCGTAAACTGTCAAAATTTGAGTACTGGTCTAGGCATTTGATAAAATGCCTGATTTGACTAATTGCTTTCGACATATCGGATAAGAACCTTTGAGTTAAAAGAAAGTGACCGTAACACTCTCCATAACCCCCTTCCCCCTTCCGAGACGGTATGTGTTTTAGGAATCGTCACCCATCATTATGACTTGGAGCTTTGTGTTTCAGGCGAAAGGCGGTGATAACAAGGATCTTGCCGGATTCATAAACGATTTAGAGCAGGTGAGAAGATGCAATAGCAGTACCGTGATGCCTGTCCAGAGGACTTTCGAGTGCATCAAGAGATTGGCGTCAGCGCGAGCCCCTGCCAACCGCTACTACGCTTACCCTGGATCCCTTACAACTCCTCCATACAGCGAGAGTGTGATTTGGATAGTGTTCCCTGATCCCTTCCAAATATCCTCTAGACAGGTGAGTCACGTACCAAAGGAATTGATATTTTTAAAATGAGGGTATATTTGTTCTTAGCCTTACCCATCAGCTGAGTATTGAGCAGTGTAATATTAAACAGTGATCACTGCTCAGCCCAAGTAGTGCAGATTGAAATAAGTAGCAATTACGTTGTAAAAATATTGCAATTCCACTGAGTGTTGCGTATGTTGCCTATCTTCTATTTGAAGGGGCCCCGTTTATCGAAACTTATTGCAATAAAATTGAAATAAGTTGCAATTTGTCAATGCGTTGCATATTGCCTATTTTTCTGACACATGGAGCTCATTTTGTTGATTCTATAAAATCTGCATAAATCGACAAGATAATGTAAAAATATTGCAATTTCATGGTAAAAAATTACAATTGTATTGAAATCAAATTGCAATTTGATTTCATATTTTCGTTGCACTGTGCTACTTGAGACTCAGCAGCTGAGCAATGAAGCAGTAGTAAACAGTGATCACTGCTCAAGTAGCATTTCTCAACATAAATCGTGATTTCTTGAAATTTAGTTGCGATTTTTCTACGATTGTGTGGCGAAAAAATCGCTAGGATCATTAGCATCTGAGCGATTATCCTCAATCTTGTCGCAATATTATCTCCATAATCGCGTTTAATAAAATCGAAATTTTATCTCAATTTGTCACGATTTTTGTTCGATAATATTGCGATTTTCCGTCGATGAAATCGCGATTGTATTACACATTTATGTGATGAGATCGCAATTTTTTGACCAATAATATTGCAATAAATCGACGTCGTCACACGGAACACTCTCCGACCGAATCGCAAAATATCGCGATCACTGCTACTCGGGCTCGGGCACAATAGAGCTATCACGAAGATTTGCGATTTTAGTACTAACAAGTACTAATTTGTGTATTTGTTTACAATTTAAATGGTGCTCTAATGGGGAGGCATTTTCATCCGAGAACAGATAGTGTTGGATTTTGATATAATTCGACATTGGCGAGGCGTGCATGATCGATTATCGATATTTCTCCATTTAGAGCAATGGAGAAGAATCGATTATTAAGGTGTTCGTTGCGAACACCCTTTTCATCGATCATTTTCCAAAGGTTACATGTCAGATCAATCGATGTATCGCAAAGCACACTACGCCAATGTTGCCGGTGGAAGAAGTAGATGCTTTTAAAAGTTTTATAAGTGTTGGACAATTTTTACGAAATGTTAGGAACGAAATAACAATGGGCCGCTAAAATTTCAATAATTTCAACTCAACTCAAGATTTTCCCAACTTGAGAGGATAATACACCAAAAACCATTTTACCTTAGGAGCCGGGTAACCTGAATTGGCCCCTGCATTACTTTCGCCTTTTGTTGAAATTTGCATCAAACTGATCTACGGTTTTTTCTTCTTTTCTTGCAGCTGAACGAATTCCGGCAGCTTAGATCTTGTGAAAACAAAGCGCTAATTCGCAAAAACGATAGAGAACTCCAACCATTCAACAACAGACCGGTCATTTTTGCGTACTGAACCATCAATTTACTCTCAAAATATATTAAAATTTCGTCTTTTAGGCGTGACAAACTTACTATATTTTTTTCAGCATCAACAAAGCTTGATAAGACACGGCAATCAGCAATGTTAACAGTTGCAGAAATATCATAAATTTTAAAAATTGATTTTTTCCGACTAGAGCGATACATTCTGAAGTGATCTCCATTATTGTTCTGCACATTGCATGAAAAAATCCTGAACCTTTTTTTTTTCATTTTGAATATGCTCTGAATTGTAAGAATGGCTATACAGCAGAGTCTATCGGTAAAAACCTTCTTAGATACTGACAACCTTTCCTGGACCATGTATCCAGTCTTGTGATCATTTGTTGAACATCGTTAGTGTGAGTTCGTAATTTTAATTTATTATCTTTATAATATAAGCTGACTCACTGTGAAATACTCAATTATCCATGAAAAATACTCTTTACTTTCCTTTCAGTATTTGTATCGAATGCTCAGATTTTGTTCACTTTTACCGCTTGGATACCGGTACACATATTTTTGTAACATGAAGCATACACTTAAGAGAGCAAAGATAAAACATGTTGAAAACTTAGATCATGTCTCAATGTCATTTTACCTCCATTATCACTACATGGGATTCAATTCACAATACCTAATTTCATCTCTGTGCAGTAATTCTTACTAAAAATTTTTAGTGAGAGGGAGACCAGGGCCTCTTCACTCTTTATGGGAGACCAATGGTATTAAGCGGGTCATAAGTTTCCTTTGGGGGCACCTTTTGGGGAGGGCTAGCCCCCCCTTCCTTCCCGAGCCAACCTTCTCACGAAAATTGATTCCAGATTTACCGTTATCAACCTCCTCTCTCTGGATTCATGCAATCAAAGTGTACAGTCATTATTACGTATCTGAAATTAGCTCTATGCTTTCTACATTATTTAAAATTGAAATTTTTTAAAGAATAATCACAGCTTTGATTTTCATGATAATTTCACTGAATTCCTCCTTGAGGGAATCCATCGAACGTGCAATATCCCCATCTATTTTCTTTGATTATGGTCTTGAGGGCTCTATAAAGGCCTGTTTTCCGTAACCTATAAAAAAGTGGCATATAATTTCAATATTTCTCCTATTCAAATACTTCAGTTCAGAGTCAGTGCTTGAGAGAGTATTGCCATTTCTATGCCTTTTTTTCGTTAATTCGTCGCTTGGCTGACATAAGAGCGTAACTACCCATTGAGATGAGCCCGGAAAAGCATTGAATTGTATGGAAGACAGGGCTCATTGCAGGGTGTGGTTACGCCCTTATGTCAGGTAGGCGACGAGTTATTCCGTTTCAGGATTGATTTTCAGAGGCTTTTGCAGATCAATGGGAGCAAACCTAATCACAAGGAATTTATGGAGAGAGAAGTGAATGATACTCACGGTAAAGAGTAATTTTCGGTACAAATATCCAGAATGAATAAAAAAAATTCTTGCCTTTACACACTTGTGCTTATATTTTCTGTTCTGTGTATGCACATTCCGGCCTGCGAGTCCATCCATAGCACTACTTTACAAACTTCACGACAAAATTCACTGTTACATTTAAAAACTGCAAAACATGATCGATCGATCGAATTAAACTCAAAATACCAGCAGTTAGTCAAGCCAGGGCCGGATTTAGAGGGTGTCTACATGGGCCGCGGCCCATGGCGGCAAATTTTGCAATTTTCTTAAATGTAGCTATGAAGAAAAATCGGATTCAGAAAAAGAAATTACAGACGAGAAAAGGTGACAAAATCTCTCATTTTCTGAGAGTATATCTCTAATTTTGTCGTCTTTCTGTGATACAGGAGACAGCACCTTTAATTAGTCGACTTAAGACTAAGAGAGAAACCGAACCCGGAATTTGGCCTGGAACGGCTAGACGCAGAGATCAATGATGACGGGAACTTGAGATGAAAAGGAGAAACTTTTGGCGCGGCGCGGCGGCGGTCGGCATATAACACATTTAGCGCCTACAAGGCTGCATGAATACTTCAAGCATTGCGTCAAAGACAGTGCGGTCGCTGCGGTCAGCAGCGGGCGGCGGGAAACGCATAGCGCCCACGAGACTGCATGAATACTTCACGCATTACGTCAAACACAGTGCGTGCAGCAGCGGTTGCCGTGAACGCATAGTGCATACAAACTGTAGGAATACTTCACACATCGCGCTAAACACAGTGCAGTCAGCGCGGCGCGGCTGCGGAAGTTAAAATTATTAAACCACATTTACGTTCGTTCTTTCATAATATTTTTGTTCATTTCATATAAATGGAAGGCCTTGTCCACACAGAGATATGTTTACGGAACTATACACCCCTCCCCCTCCGGCACAATGACTTGATAGTTTTTATTGATGTTTTAAAACGAATGAGAAGGGGGCGGAAAATTACAGGCGGCCCATGGGCGGTAAGTAAGTAATTTCGGCCCTAAGTCAAGCGTGTAAAAGCATGACTTTCCTTTTATTAATTCTATCAAATTAATAACATGCACGATGCGTTAACCCCAATCAAAAATTTCCATTAAAGTTTGTTCGCGATTCATATAGGAAATTATGAAATATGAACATTTTTATCACTTCTAAAACTATGACGCCATATCGTCTGTGTACATATACCTATCCTATTGGTCCAAAGCTCGGAGCAGAGGGGCTGCCACGAAAGCTCAAAAAGTCACCGACCAATCAGAGAACGGCACACCTCTGCCATGATGGCATCAAGTGTCAAATATTCAAATTTCTTCAAAATTCGTCTAATCTCTTTTAGATGAAATCACTAAAATAGCTAAAACAGCAAAATTCAATAATTTTCAATTAATTTTCAAAACTTAAATAATTAATTGTTCCAAAACGAGACATGTGAGTAAGCCGTAAGTGCGCCAAAAATGACGTTGTTTCAGGTAAGACAGCAGTAAGTGATATTACTCCTCAAGAGAACCAATGAAAACAGTGCTTTCATGTAAAAAGCCGCCCTCTTCTGCCGATTTCTATCCTGAAAATGTGTTAGTTGTGTGTCCAATCTGCAACCACGAAAGCATGCAGAAGATAGCACATACGAAATGAAAATGAAAATGAAAAATACCCCTTTTTATGTAATTGAAATAAAATTGGTTGATTTTTGATCATCCAAACGATTTCTAGAAGTCTCTCGGACGATTAGTGGCAATTGGACAACGAACGGAGGCTCCTTTCAATAAAATTCTCCGGTCAGCCGGTGAGCCCGTTTTCTCAAAACTTTATACTTGCACTCACTGCTCTCTTCGCTATCACGGCAGACCTCTTTTTGCAGTACATAAAATGATAAAGATGGAGATACACCCACAAAATAGGTACTTTACTCTAGTTGAAAGGGTTGGAGTTATCTGAAGTGACGCATCCCAAGTGGCATTTTTCAACGGAAAAGTCGCGATATATTGCGATTTTATCGGCGATAAAATCGCTAGGATCATCAACATCTGAGCGATTATCCTTGATCTTGTTGCAATATAATCGCGATTTTATTGCCCGGCAATTTATCGCGATATATGGCGATTTATTCTCGATTTTATTGACGAAATCTGACCGCGATTTTATCGAACAAAAAATTGCGATGCATATCGATTTAATCGCCATAAATCGCAATTTTTCATTCGATAATATCACGATAAATTGCCACCGGTAAAATCGCGATAATTGACCGATAAAATCGCGATAATTAACCGATAAAATCGCTATTTATCGCGATCTCTGCTACTTGAGACAGTGGATCGAGTCAAAAAGAGAGGTCGGACACGAAATTTTTGACTAACTATGAATTCAAATTCATCTGTAACTACAAATTCTAATGTTTATCTCGTCACATTCTAAAATTCAAGGGGTACGTCGGGAAGAAAATTTTACGAGGAAACCAATGAAGCTACTTTCAGAACCTCAAAGTCTTGCAAAAACGGAGTTACAAGCGTCAAAAATTTCCAAATTTTGTCTGACCTCTCCTATTGCCCCAATTCACTGCGTGACGTCGAAGCTCAAGCGAGAGTTGCTAGAGTGACGAAAGCTCGCTCGCGACTCTGTTTGAAGAAGTGACGTACCTGTTGCGTCTTTTTATGCGTCAACGATATGCGCGCAAGAGCGCACTGCTTGGGTAGGTCGAATTCGGGATGACCTCGATTCCATGTCAGCCGCAGAATTTGATCTAGAAGTTTCCTGATGTACGTGATAACGGAGCCCTACATATCGATGGAGGAGTTTTTATTTCGCCATTTCGATACAATAAACCACCAAAATTCCTTAATGATAAGTATCTGAATGGAGTTCGATTTTGCTTGATTTTAATTTCGTTAGGCGGACAACATCAAAACTACCGTCAAGTACCGACAGCCATCTATACAGAATATATAAAATATCTCGCTGCAAAGTGGCAAAGCACGTTGCACCCAAATGTCTTGCCCATAATTCATGAAGCACTCATAGGAAGGAGCGTGTAGTGAAACCAGAGCGCCTTCATTGCACCCAGAAAGCGTTGAAGAAGCCAGCGTACCTCCAATATTTTGTATATGCAATCCGCACAGTTGTGGGGCGCGAATAGTTGCATCCAATGGGTCGTTAAGGCGCTAACGCGTACGTTTGATTCATTTTTTCAGTTCAACAATAAATGACACAACTACTAAATCACCGTTTTTAACATGGAGTGATTTCTCCCCCCCCCCCCCCCCCTTCTCCCTTGAATTTGGTATTTTTACTTTTAGGGGACAATGTTTTCAATTTTACGGCATTTTGCAAAAATTTAATAGTGTTTTGGTCTCTATCGAGTTTCAGGTATTAAGAGACGCTCATAACGTCTATCGGTGTCGTTGTGATGAAAAAGTTTGTGCTTTGTCGCTAAACTTTTCTATTTTGGTTATTTCTAAGAGTTCATTTAAGGCTGTCCAATTTTCGAGCCGATTTTCGGTAAGCAATTGGATCAGGACTGAAAAGTACGTCTTTTGGCCAATTGTTCAAGTTACGAGACAGTACGTCAGGGTCAGGGTTTCCACGTCATTATTCATGGCACACGAAGAACAAATACTGTTGAGAGACAGTCTTAGCACGTGCATGGCGCAATCTGGCGGATTACGCGAAAATTAGCTCCTGTTGAAGGGTCTAAATTGGGTGTTTGTACAACTGGCAAACCTTTCTCTGCTGAGAGTTCCGACTGGTCGCAGCAAGGCCTCGCGTCTAGTTCCCTTCAAAAAACAGCTGCTGGAACTAGCTTGTGTCAGCGCTATGGTATGTTAAGCTTCATTTATAACTCTCCAAAAGTTGTCTTCGCGCAGATCCCATAAAGAAAAGGAAAATACAAGCCGACCATTTGGGTTATGTTCAGTGCAAGGGGACCAAACGCGGAAAAAAGAGATAGGGGTTAAGTCACAACTTGAAAATTTCCAATTAATTGTGGTAATACCCCAATAAATTAGGTTACTAACACACATGTTGCGGGACTACCAAAATTAATTGGAAATGGTAAAATGATTGAAAGAATAATCGAGCTACGAGCCAAAAATAAATTAAACAAATAATGATAAATAATAAATAAATTATAAATGAAATATTATTTGTCTAATTTATTTTTGGCTTATAGCTCGATTATTTTTTCAATCATTTTAACATATTCTATAAAAGTCAACCAAATTTGCAGTAAAATGTATTATTTGAAAATATTAATTTCATCTAAAAAACTGGGGTAGTACCATAATTGGACGTATTTATGCTAAAAGGAACTATATTGCACACAAACCCTATGCACATAGTTCCTTTTAGTATAAATACGTCCAATTTTATAGGATAATCCAATAAAGTAGTACCCGAATGTTGCGGTACTACCCCAACTTGAGTTTCGGTACCACAAAATTAACTGGAAATGTCCATGTCATCCGACAAATTGAGGTAGTACTACATTTGGGTGTGACCGGGTAACCCCTAACACTTTTTTCCGTGAAGTCCTTATGATTGAAAGAGGTAGTTGATCAACGGAATTCTTTATTGGAAATAATGTGAATCATTTCGCTTTTGGTACCGAAAAATTATTTTTCTCTCTCAAGTAATAAAAATACGTACAAAAAAAACTATTGAGGTAAAAATGACAACCTATCAATTCATTACCTCTAGTATACCTTAATTGAGGGACTTGGGAGACAAGGCGCATAAGTGCAGACTTTGAACAAATTGAGATGTTTATGAACTCAACTAAATCTAGTTTGAAAGTATATTCTGTGAAAAATTCACAAATAAAATGCAATTTTAAAGCATCAAAAAAAGAGTTTAAACTTCCTTTATGCCATAAGGCTCCATGTAATTTTGAAACTTTAAACACGTATTTCTTGAAATAGCAGAAACTGCACTAATGCGCTTTGTCCTCCAAGCCTCTCAATTCAGCCATTGTTCTAACTGATAGAATCGAACATAAACTTAAAAAACACATTAATAAAAAAATCAAGTTTAATCAAATAAAATTCCCTCTCACAAGATACAAGAAAGCACGACTCATAATTTTCTTTCAAATAATTCAAATTAATGTTGGCGATAGAAAATTACCTCTGGAATATGAATTTATGATTGTGAAAGTCTGCCGACTCCTTATGGAAACCTCTCCTTTTCCAAACATGTCCATTTTCTCCGATTCTGCTGAACACTTCCCAACAAACAAAACAAGTTATTCACACAACTTTGAAAGAACCATCCGGCCTCTTCATTCTTCGTTCGTTAACGGAGGCATTTTTTACAATGAAACTTTCGGGGATCTCTCTTTAGATCACAAAAAATGTCACAACGTTTTTTTAATGAAAGATGCAAACATTTCATGAGTTAATGAATACATTGTCGAGCAAAAATTTCCAACCTGCCGATGATATTAGGCTATCCTCGTTTTGATCTCTTTAATTTTCGTTAGTCATGAGGCTATTCAATTTTGTTCTAGCCCATAAGAACCCAGCAAGTGGAACATCACGTTTGTCCTTAGATTGGTCGGGGTTCAAAAATAAAAGGTGCTGGAGTTTGAACATCTGATGGGAATTTTAGATTTAACTTATTATACTTATGTGATTTTGTAGAAAACACGAGAAATCCATTGAATCCTTCCAAAATTGCCTCTAAATCTTAAAAAAAAGTGAATTCTATGCTAATTTTAGCGACAATTAGCCACATTATCGTCGTAACTCTCGCTCCAGTAAAGGCGCCTGTCAAAAAAAGGGCCCTTTTACCCTCCTTTTAGAGGGAACTCAGGGATTTTGTTCAAGTGTAGCCTTAACTATACCTATTGATGAGACAATATTCCAGTAAAAGTTTAAGCTTAGTAATACTGTAACTCAAAAAATAAAAAGGAATCAACTAAAGTTGGTTTTTCAGCCGAAAACTTCAAAATGTTAGTATTTTTCAACGATAAATAATGTAACCTTTATGCAACACTGCATTGCCAAATCGAGCTTTGAACTCAAGCTAAACTTTCATTGGTGGATTGTCTTATCAGTAGGTATTATTTGGGTTAAATTGAAAAAGAAAGTTTTGCCTTCACACACCACGTTGTTTATGACAAGTTGTTGTTGTGGATGTAAATTTTGGACATCAAGTCCATTATCAGGACTTAAACACAAAATTACGAAGTAAAAACACGGATAATAGATGATGAAATATCACAATGAATTACAATTAAAACAGGAAGAATTAAACAATTGGAAAGGTTAAAAGCAAAAAAGTGCGTAGTTATTGAATAGTGCGTAGTAATTAATGTTAGTTTTTTACACTTTTTTGCTTTTAACATTTTCACTTGTAGTTCGATCTCAATACTAAAATAGGCAATGTTAGCTACGTAGGGGCAAATATTGTATCGAATGACTACTATTTGTATCTATCAGCAGTGCACCGTTTCACACTCACTCAAACCGGTGCGCCTTCAATTCTAAAATAGGCAATGTGATCGGCTTAGGAGCAGTAGTGGTTGCCTTTAGTGATATGGTCATATCCATATATTTTAAAATGAAAAAATCATACTGATGTGATTTATTGAAGTATGTAGTAATTTGTCCTGTGCGTGCCTATGAATAACCGCATCATTGAGGTTTCTATCCTACTTTCATTTACTTCCATAGAGTTCTCTATGGTTTGAATTGAAGTTTTAAATATTTGTTATTTTGAAATGGAGCTATTTTGTATTCAATTTTAAGAGGGTTTTCTGGTTAGGGATACAGAGAGAGAAATTTCAACACAATAGTTTGGTTATTACAGGAAGTAAAACACAAAATAACTCTATCCTTCGGTTGAAAATTTCAAGAGGAAATTCCAACTAGCTTCCTTAAAGGGTTTCAATAAAATGAGTGGCGAATATCGATGTCGCATTCGGAGGAATGCAATTCCCAAGTCTCTCCATTGTTTTCTTTGCCAAATTCACCAACAAAAACGACAGAAAATTCATGTTGGTCTGTGTTTCACTTCCTGTGTTAACCAAAAGTAACACACGAACACAAATTTTTTTATCAGTGTATGGTGCCGACGAGGAGAATTTGATTCCATGCCATGGTACTGACAAATGACGTTTTATTTGACAGTACGCTGCCGTGCCAAGGAAAAACGTCGTATGAACCTTCAGACGTTGCCAAATTTCCTTTAATAAAACACGGATTTCTTGGTAGACTTATAATGATTTTCCTTCCAATTTTTCAGATAATTTTGTTCGCAATTTTACCCAAAGTTCCCGATAATCTCAAGGAAAAATGTTCCTTACTTTTTTCAAAAAGAAACATTTTATTGAGAAAAATGTGGCAACTCTCGAATGTTCATACGGCGTTCTTCCTTAGCATGGCAATACGGCACCGGCAAATAACCATTCCGTATAATAATATCGGATATTAAAACTTAGTGTTCAAGTGATATTGATATCACTATTTTCGTTAAAATCTATAAGATTTCACAATCATAGAACCTTTGAGCAAATATCTACTACCCGGAAAACTGATCCGTTCTGAATGTCTGAATTGGACGAAGAATATGTAAAACAGCAGTAAATTTCTCCCATGAATTTTCAGCCTCGTTTTTCACAGCTAATTTTAGGGGAAAACTAGGAGGCTATGCCCCCTGGCCGCTACGCGGCTCAGCCCCCGGAGGGCGCTTCGCGCTCCATTAGGCCCGCTTTGACAAAAGAACGACCAAAAAATGAAAATATTTTCATACTCGACTGTCATTTGTCCAATCCTTCTCTGGCCGGGAACTATTGAACCAATAAGAATCGAATAAAAAAATCGGCATTCATTTCAAACTTCTCGCAAGACTGAAACGAAACGGAACAAAGCGTTCCATCGCTTTTGAATAATCTGTGCCGATAGAGCATATCTTCTATTCACCTGCCTCACCCTACTAACAGACCAAGATTCTGCATTTCCCGCTTGGTTCAATTTTCCGCTAGATTTAAAATTCCCGCCATTTTTTATTGGCGGGAATTCCAAATGTTGCCTCCCTTTTTTAAGCTTCCTGGTCTTCTCTTAAACAAAAAAACCTAGGTCACATTTCCAAAATCTAATTAAAGCAGGCTTGTCTACGACCTATCACTTGTCGATAACCGCAAAAATCATGGAAATCGGCTTTGTAGAACGCTCAAACGAATTATGACAAAAAATATAAATTTACATTGTTTAAATGGGAAAATTCGCAACTTTACCATGTAATATTAAAAAAACCTGGGTCATATTTTGAAAATCTGAACAGAGCGGACTCATTTAGAGATAATTGCCCGTCGATAGCCGCAAAAATCTTGAAAATTGGCCCTGTAGAACGCCGGAACTAAGCGTTACCAGTTATGCAATATCAGAAGGCCTCGGAGCTTATAGTATATAGTATAGATAGTGGAGCATGTTGAAACATCCGAAAATTTGAACTTATTCATCCTAGAAGGAACTATGTTGCACGTAAATCATATGCACATAGTTCTTTTTAGCTTAAGAACGTCCAATTTTACGTCCACCAATTCACTGGACTAAATAGAAAATTTCAGACAAGGGGTACAATTTGGTCCGAACCTGCGAATACAGATTGTTTTCCTCGCAAATGTATGGAAAACAAATTACGAGGAATGATCTAGAAGCGGCATATTTTCAAACTTCATCGTGACCTACTTATGATTTTCCAGGAACTCGCCGTGGTGCGTATTATTTTTCTCGTTTGCGCTTTCCACACGATTGCGGATGCCTTCCGTATTCTACGACCCGGCCCCCTAAGGATTTATAATAACACAGGTCAGTGAGATATAGTTACGGTTGAGTATTCTCAGAGATAAATATTTTAGAACCTCATATCAAAATAAAAATATTTCCTTCGAAATAGTTTTTTTTTTTTTTAGGGTGCCTCTATTTGAAGCTACGACCTCTCAATTTTCGTTTTTTTCTCTTAAAAAATAATCATTGCTTTTTCCAATTCACAGTTTTTGCCACGTTTGTAGATCAAAACAATAATGAAACTTGGCTATCCATTATGATGTTCAGCGCAGATTTCCTTCAAAGCCTCAAAAGTATTGAAATCTTTAAAAGGGAATTTCAGAGGATCTCCCAGAGCAAACAAATTGGTCCCCCGTCCCTCTCACCCCCTGAAATCTCCCCTTAAGAGATTTCGTTATCTCTGAGGCCATTGATGAACTTAGCTCTAAAAATTTTGGGAGATTGCCACTTTGCATGGATTTCCGTCTACAACTGTCACCAAAAGTCATCCCTCAATGCTTCTTCAAAAATTGGTTTTCAGTTTTTCAAAAAAAAAAAAGAAAGAAAGAAAGAAAGAAAGAAAGAAAGAAAGAGAGAAAGAAAGAAAAAAGTCCTTTCTCTTTTTCTTAAAAAGAACAACGAGAGAAAATATTGGGACTAACCAATAATTTACAATAAAAAAGAAGAAAAAAACTAAAAAAGAGAATATAGTAAAAATATATAAAACGTAAGATCCAAAAATGAGACTGATAAATCACAAGAGATTGTTTGCCCTCTCATACAGACGAAGAGCTGAAGTCGAGATGGCCATGGGTTAAACAGAAATTCCACAAAAAAATGCAGTCACCTGTTGATATCAACACGGACCAGTGTACTTTCGTTCGACTACCCCCTATCTACTTTATTCAGTATTGGGAAGCCGAAGGTGATATGGCTATTTTGGAAAACACAGGACACACAGGTAAGAAAAAGCTCTGATCTGCTTTTTTTCGGCAAAATTGAACAAATGTAACCACATAAGGTGTTTTCTACTTTCTTTTTATGTTTTATTTTTTCATAGTAGAAAACCACGCAACACTCTAGCTTTACATTTTATGATAAAAGTCTACGTAAACTAGGGAAATTCACGCACGGTTTTAAATCATTATTGAAAGTCTGAAGTGGAAAACCATGTATGTGAACCTGATTAAGGTACTGGATAGTGAGTACTTCCCTTTTTCCTGGGACGTTTCTCTACACATGACTCCAACATTTGAATCCTATTGCAGGGGAGCCATATTCGAGTGAGTACGGTGACCACTAGGTAATTTTTTTTCAGAAACGATTCCAAATATGAGGGTTTACCTTAATTACGCTTTAAATTGGTTGCAGTGAAGTTGAAACTGCAGCCGAAAACACCTATCAGGAAGCGACCGATGATTTCGGGAGGACCCGCTCAAGGTATTTACGTTTTCGACTCAATGCACATGCACTGGGGAGAGACAGACAACAACGGAAGCGAACATCTTCTAGATGGACAACCGTAAGAACAATTATTGCATCTTTGTAATTTTTTTTAGGGGGGGGGGCTACTAACTTTTCAAGTTAACCTATTCTTCGATTGTTACTAATATTCAAACTTTCAAACTTGCTGTCCACTTTTAGATCAGAAAGGATAGTTAGAAGAGACGGTGCTGTTAGAGACCCCTGTGGGTAATCCAGCCTAAAACAGCCTTAATATATAACAGACGTTGCCTAAATCGAAGGGCTTGGAGGACAAAGCGCGCATAAGTGTAGTTTTTGCTATTTCGAGAAATATGTACATGTTTGAAGTTTCGAAATTACATGGATCCTTATGGCGGAAAGAAAGTTCAATCCGACATTTTGGTCTTCAAAAATTGGAATTTGGGATTGCATTTATCATATCTATGCATTAATACTAGTTTTACTGAAATCATTAATACCTCAATTGTTCCAAAAACTGCAGTCATGCGCCTCGTCCTCCAAGCCCCTCAATTTTTCTCAGGTTTCATTTTTTTACCAGAGGACTCACGTACATTCTGCTTTGAAATTTGTGGAGGATATTCTTTGAATGCCAGAATGGATCCATGAAAAGGTGTAAATCATCGTGATGTTCTTTTTTCCAGTAAAACATTAAGCTAGATGAGATGCACTCTTATACTGATTCTGATTACATTGTTATTGGTTTTTCATCCCGTAGAGAATCAATTAATTTAATTAATTGATTAATGAATTTAATAGAGCCAGAATCTAAGAAGCGATGCGAGAGGCAAAAATATTTCATACTGATTAACCCTATTCTAACGCCCTGCATTCTAACGCGATGCAGTGTATTTTATTTGACTCAAATGAAAAGGGTTTTCCTCTATGATACCCCTTTTTTACACTACCCTGCTGAGCATCCGAGAGGCGCAAACTTTCCTTCGATAAAGTCTTCATTTTTGAGGAAAGCTATGAATATTTTTCCTTGAAATTTTCAGGCACTTTAGGTAAAATTGCGAACAAAATTATCTGAAAAATTGGAAAGAAAATATTCATAAGTTTACCAGGAAATGTGTGTTTCATCAAAAGAAATTTGGCAACGCCTGAAGGTTCATACGGCGTTCTTCTTTAGTACGGCAGTACAGAGCTGCACCAATCCCACAGATCCCTGATTATCTCGTCTCCAAAATGACCGGAGAACTGGTTTTTCGTAAATATTTAAGGCCTTGATTCTGATTTAAAAAAAAAAAAAAAGAGAGAAAAAAATAATAATTCTCTAATAGTACCTACCTCTCAATAATTTTGTTATATTACAGGTTCTCGTGTGAGATGCACATTGTTCATTACAACTTAAAGTACAAGACGCTTGAAAATGCTCTCAACTATTTCGACGGGCTCCTCGTGACAGGATTCTTTGGCGATGTAAGAGTGCTTTTATAATCCTCTTTTGCTTAGAATTCATTTCAACCGATAGCTGTGCTCAAAAAAATGAGCAAATGGCAAAATTTAAAAATATTCGATTTAGTTTCTTCTTCTTTTTTTAGAAAAAAACCAAAAAACTAATCTGAAAATACACTTGGCATTCTCCATGAATATTTTCAAGCCTAGTTTATCTTTTCGAATATAAAAACTGAGCGAGATTTGAAAATATTCAATCAGAGATACGTATTATTTTACTGTAGCTGTCGACACTTTTCTAGTGAATGAGGCGCGAGGTGTCCTCTGTAAGCACTGGAATAAATGTTTTTATCGTTAAATATGTTGAAAAATCATGTTTATTGGGATATTCCTTTCAAACGTATGCACACTTATGTGCATTTTCATTATTTTCATGATAAGTATAAAAATGAAGAGGTGTCTAGTTAGTTTAAAAGGAGTTCAAATGCTTCAAGTTAACTTAAGACGAATATTTGTTATTTTAAAAGGAAACCGTTTGCAGATATTATTCAATGAACTTTTTTTTTTTCAAATAGAAATCCCACACCGCAAGTTATCTTTATGATATTCCTTTCCATACCGAGAAGAAAATCCTGTAGGTGAATTTGACAATTGAATTGAGTCCTGGTCAATTTTGAAACGAAACTGCACTGTTGAACTTTTTGTGTGTTTGACAACATCAAAGCTTTCCAATTAGTCGAGATTTTTAGCTCAGTGCTGAGTGATGGAATATAAACACTAGATTTCAGCGTGTGTCGTACCCGCGCCCACATTAATCACAGTGAATTTGTGGATACAGTTGTGCAAACTATTGCATAATTGCCTATTTGAAGGCGTTTTAACGCGTCCACTTAATTCTGTGCGACATATGTCATGTGTGAGCACTATACCTCTTGGCTGTGACAGTTTCCGCTTAATAAGCTGAGCCAAGGATACTAGTGATCATAGGAAATCGAATAAGATTATCAAGTCCTCTCATCATGTTCGGTTTTATATGTATATTCAATAACTTACCGTCGGAAATAAAATAATATTATACACTTGTCAATTTACAAGTTTGATTTTACAAATCATACTTGCTTTTTAAATTCAGTCTTGACGTATAAAGTAAAATGGTGAAAGAGTTATGGCCGTGTATTTTCCTGGTGAATTGCAAAGAAATCTGAGATTCGAGGAACCAAAAATTCAACTGCTTTGTCAAAAGGTGGATTATCGTATCCCACTCGTTTAAAAGGCAAATGAAGTGATCAGGTTTGACTTGCAGTACGTAGATGCATATATGAAGTTAGTCATTATATGGAATATATTTTTTTTTCGAAGATTGTAGAAATCTAGTAACTTCACAGCGGAAACTTTCAGCGGATTGCTCTTAGCAGTTTGGCAGCATGGAACAGAATAAAACGATTCGCAAAAAAGTACTTTCTGTCAAATGTCTTGTTTTCAAGGCGTTGGAATCAACAAAAGCCCCTGTTTTAGCTCGAACTTATTTTGACCCAAGTTGTTCAAACCTGTGAAATTTTTGTTTTTTATCCTTCCATTTCTTGGTAGGTGGGAGGCGAGGGCTGATGTTATGCTTTTGTTGCGAATCCGGCTCTCTCCCTACTCATACTTTATCCGTTTCATTGATATGTCACTCAAAATTTTCCGCCTTTCAGTTTTTCATCTTACTTTTTTCGTTACTTCTGTGAAACAAATTATATTGTTTTGTATATTTTGAACAATAAAGGAATATGATAAATAAAAAAAAAATAAAAAGTAAAAAAAAATCCTTCACTTATGATCAGCCTTCTGGTATGACTTGGTAACTTAACACAAAAAATGTTTGTTTCGAAGGCGGTAGAGTTGGACAATCCGGAATTGCAAGAATTTATCGACGATTTGAAGCAAATCCACGATTGCAACAAATCGATCACGGTGCCGATAAAACCAATTTTCACGTTCATCAGGGATTGTGTGACTGATCAGAATTACTACTGTTACCCGGGGTCTCTTACGACCCCAGACTTTCAGGAATGCGCCATCTGGATCGTCTTCAGCAAACCTTTCGAAATTTCAAGCAGTCAGGTAAGTTCTTAATTTTCTTAATTTCCTTAATTTCTTTCAATACACTTTATACTTTTGTAATCAATCAATCATCCCTCTGTCCCTAATCAAGCCAGCCCCAGGTAACCGTTGTTTGAGACCATCAAGCTTGAGTCACCTGGCCGGGAATCGAACTCAGAACCTCCCGATCAGTGCTTGAGCAAGCGCTACAATAGGGTGGCCCACAAAAAATGAATTTCGGAAATTTATAGCCGTAACCCCCTAAATCGGTTACAGCATGTTCAAAAACACGGAAAATGAAATTTGGGGTCAATCGGACAAAATTAACCCGACGAGCAGTTGCCATTTATCCCTGCAAAAATAGCGAATTTTAACTGTTTTTCAGTAATTTTCCGCTCCCAAAAGATAAAGTCGGAGGGGTCTGCAAATTAAACAGAGGGCAAAATTAGTTCATGAACTACACCCTAGTGAAGTTTTGGTCCCCCCTCCACGCTTTTGACCCGACGCGCGGTTGCCATTTACACGCATGAAAATAGCGAATTTTTGACGGTTTTTGATGATTTTTCCCTCTCGATATATTAACTTTACAGATGCCTAAATTGTAATCATAGTGTGAAATTAGTAGCTTAGATGCTCCCAATGCTCCCCTTCTGATAATTTTGCCACACTGCGACGTTGCCATTTTTCTGAGCAAAATCGTGAATTTCCACTTATTTCAATATCATCTCTCTAGAGTTAAAAAAATAAAAACAAACTCAGGGGCCATCGAAAAAGTGCGCTAAAACACGGTGATTATACCATGAGTATCTTTTTTGAAAATTTGGACCCTGTAAAATGTTTTAGTCGGCGTGAAGTTACCACTTGGCAAACAGTGGTTGACGGTAATAGTCAATTTTCATACGTTAATGCGCCTTCAATTACATTGGAATCTGTGCAATACTTTCGTGGTGGAATAGTTGCATTGGCACCTACAAACCTAACAGGGATACTTCACTCATTGTGCAATGCATGCAGTATCCCTGTTAGGTTTGTAGGCGCCAATGCAACTATTCCACCACGAAAGTATTGCACGGTATCAAATGTAATTGAAGGCGCACTAACGTATGAAACTTGACTGTTACCGTCATGGTGTCAGGGGGTATTTTTTTACGAGGAACTTGAATCTCAACTCAAATTTTTAAAATTCAAAAATCCAAAATGCCCACCTGGCAACTAAGGAGCCGAAGAACGAACGTTATCAGATTTCACGAACAAAAATAGCTCGAGAGGCCTCATCATTTATTGAACGGAAGTAGTTGTAAGTCAAGGTAAAAGAAACGTAAGGCATATGATCCGCCCGACCACTCGAAACGCAGCTTTTTTTTCTCGTCACTAAAGCCGCGGCGCGAGAATTTAATTGAGGGGCTTGGAGGAGGAGCGGATAGGTGCTGTTTTTGAAAAATTGAGATATTAATGATTTCAAAAACTCTTCAACCATTGAGAGAAATCGGCCATATTTTCGTTATGATCAAAGCTTTTGCATTAATTAACTTTTTTATTTGTTTCAGTTGGAAGAATTCAGAGAACTAAAGTCTAGCGAAGGTGGTAAACTCATCAACAAAAATGACCGAGAACTACAAGATTTCAACGATAGACCCATCCTATTCTCAGTTGGAGAGATTAAGTCCATCGAGTAGTACTTGGTATCATAATCGTTGGCCACGGTTACGAGTTGTCTCTCTAATAAAAACAAAATAACTTAAAAATATTTTAGATATTTTTTATCAGCGTATCGATGTGAATTTTGAGGTGCGGGCGCGCCTTTTAGACAAAAATATTCAATCAGTTTATGAAATAATGAGGGAAAAAATGCCGGAGAAAAAAAAATTTCCTTAAACTTGACAAGGACTTCAAACACATAGTAGTATTGTGTGTCTAGCCAGAGGCTTCATAGTAATGCACCTTCGGTGACAGCCTTTCAGAGCATCCAACAAGAGAATACTATAATCAAATATGTTTCAACCCCAATTTTCGATACGAAATATGATACGTGTAGCAATATGTTCCCCAATCATCTGTTCCTACAATAAATCATAAAATCTAAATTTTCCGGTTAAGTTCCTCGAGTTGAAAATTTGTATTACTATCAAAGGAAAAAGTTATCTTTTCGAAAGGGCACAAGCGACATAACTTCGAGTTCCCCCTTTCTCTATGCATTTCATGTTTCCCAGGCTCACGAGGTTTCATTGCCTACATAGGGTTTTTTGTGAGCGAACAGTTCAATCAGCTGCATGTGGACAAAATCAGTTCTTAAAACTTTGAGCACCCTCGAAAGATTACTCAAAATCGTTGCGCCACGCCCCAAATTTCATCTTAATCCCCTGTTTGGCTGCGTAACGCCATTCCACCCACCCCTTGGAGTGATAAGTTCAGGGACACTGGGACAGGCCGTTGGTGGGTAATTGGACCACATTTTGCAATAATGATCCACTATTTCTGGCTCATTTTAGAAACAGCATTAATGCCACTGGTTTCCCTATGCATAAAGGTGTTTTTATGAAAGAACCGAGGATAGTGGTTCCTAATTGAAAAATGTAATCCAATTTATATTTTACCCTACCAGTACTAATAAGTCGCTCTTATAGCGCTTCTGTGCGCTCTGCGACACCCAACCGCCACCGACAGCGATCTTGCCAGAGCTCCTCCGGCAGATCGCATTCCCTCATTTCCTGCCTTATTCCCTCAATCCACGAATATCTCCTACCCAATCTCCTACCTAAAAAGCAAATTTGACGCCCCCTCCTCTGGTCAAGGAGTAGAGGTTAGGGGGTGGGAATTCATAGTAGGTATGAAAATTTTCTACGATAAAGAGCAAATGAAACGAATCGCGAATTTTCTTTGAAGGACTTAATTTTGGAATGATGAAAGTTCAAAGTCGTTTTGAAATGACACAGAATACGGATATAAAGTGTTGAAAGCTTCAGTTTAACTCGATAGTCTCTAGAAATTAAATAAATAAAGGAAGCACGTGGAATTTAGGTTAGCACTGGCGCTGGGGCTCCTCCCGCTCGTGTATGATGTTTGTACCCCTAGTCACGACGCGATCGCTCCTTCTAGGGATGATCCCTCCCTATTAAAGTTGACTCTGGAAATTCTCGGTCCAACGTAGTTTTGGTAAGCTTTTGATAAGAGTACTTAGATCGTGATGCTTTGATTGTAATTCTGCGGACCCCCGTATTACGTCACATGATTTGAAGATTCAAAATTTGGCAACCGCGATACCAATATTGAGGGGCTTGGAGGACAAGGCGCATAAGTGCCAGGCCCGCCACATCCCATCTCGGGCCCTTGTACCAGTTTTGAGGTCCGGGCCCCAAGCACGGAGGGGGGGGGGATCCGTGGGGCATCCCCCGAGAAATTTTAGAATTAATACGACTAATTTTACGCATTTTGAAGCTTCCATAATGAATTTTTCCATAAATTTCTCCTGAATAATTATGTTTTTTTTTTCTACTTTCAGCACAAAATACTTGCGAATTATTGCATTCTAAATATCTGGAAAATTTTTATTTTTTTTTGAGAGGGGGCATATGATACTATTGTCAGTTCTATGAGGGCCAGGCCCCCCTGGACTCCCCCTTCGTTTGTCTATGGCAAGGGAGTTGAGCCATGAGCCATTGAAGTCGAGGATGCCCAGACTGGAGACCCTTAGCATCTGACGACGGAAGAAAATGAAACTCAGTTACTAAAAATATCCTTCTGTACTAAAAATCTTGAAAATAGATAGAAATTTTCCAAGAAGTATACTTCTTTGAAAATTTAAGGAGAATTTTACAGTGCCCCAGCGTGTTTCTGAAAATCTATTCACCTTTCGCGAAATTTTAAGGGTAAATTTTTCACTTTTTCTTACGAAACAAGGGTTGCATGTGAATCCGTAGTGGTTTTTCACGGGTAACACGGGCCCCCTCCGGGGCCCGGGTCCCGGTACCAGGGACCTAGTATCCCCCCCCCTTGTGGCGGTCCTGAAGTGCAGCTTTTGCTATTTAGAGAAATTCGTGCTCGTTGTTACGAAATTACATGGACCCTTATGACGGAGCGGGAGTTCAAACTGACTTCTTGATGCTTAAAAATTGGAATTTGGTGGCGAATTTTTTGCAAAATATGCATTAAGACTAGATCCACTCGATATCATGAATATCTCAATTTTTTTTTAAAAAAAAACTGCACTCGTTCGCCTTGTCCTCCACCCCCTTCATTTCATTTGAAACCTCCTGTCGCCACCCTTTTCATTGGACGTTCCCTTCGTCCCCTCCCAGGAGGAACCCATTCAAGCATCTTCTTTGGCAGCCTCTCTTCCGCCATCTTGTTGACATGACCGTACCAGACAAACTGTTTGGTCATGACATCAAACACGACGTCATTTTCGACCCCTGTCTTCTTCTTTTTCATCTTCTTTTTCTTTTTCATCATCTTTTTCGTCATCCACTGCTTCTTTGTTGTCTTCTTGTTCTTCTTAATCTTCTTTATCTCCTATTTCTTCTAATCGTCTTCTGTCTTCTCCTTCTTCATCTTCCTCTTCAAATTCAATGTCCTCTCCTTCTTTTTCTTCTTCCCACGTCTTCCCCCCAAGATGGCCATGGCCAGATGGCGCTTGCTAGGTTTTGAATTTCCACGACCCTTGGAGCCTCCTCTCCTCGCGTGGCAACCCTGGAGTCCGTCTGGACTGGGGTAATGGACGTTGTTGCCCGACAGGGCGCACCCGAAGCTCGTCCTACGAGCGGTCGTGGTTCTCCTGGGAGCAATTTGGAAGCGGCGGTGGTCAGCAGATAGGATCATTGAAATCCGATAGGCAAGCACTACCTTGACCCTGCCCCCCGTTGCCCCCTCTCCCCCCGGCCCCTCCCCGCCCGCATCCCGACGGCGCGGCGCTTCATCTCGTTTGGCGCCACCACCGCGGACAGGCGCCACCATCGCGGGCAGGCGCCACCATTTTTACGCCTTAAATGTATTCATAACGCTCCGCTTGTGTATTAGAACAATGCTCCGGCGACGGACGACGGGCGACGGGCCCGGCTGCCGGCTCACTCTCATTGCTACGCTCCCGTGCTCAGGGGAAACATCCTATCATCATCCCAACGTTGTCGAATTTCCTCCGCCGAGCCTTGTCGTGATTGGATGGAACCGCGCCGTATCGTTATCTTTGCATGTGGTGTTTTGAAAAAAACACCCCTTCCCTAATAGCTTGGAACTCCCAACATACGCCAGACTGATACGTATTGGAAATCCCAGTGGAAGATGATTAGATGAAATAGAAGTAGGGGGAGACGAAGATGAAGAAAAGGAAGAAAACGACGAAGATGAAGAAGAAGAAAGTAACGAAGATGACGGAGGAGACACAGCAGAAGATGAAGAAGAAGACAGCGCAGACGAAGAAGAAGGAGAAGAAGAGGAACACAAGGGAGATGAAGAAGGAGACGGAGAAGACGATGAAGAAGAAAAAGAAGAAGAAGTATCAGAGAGGGAGGAAGAAAAGTTTTAAGTATAAGAGAGGTAGGAAGTAGTAGTAGAAGAAGAAGAAGAGGGGAGGGAGGAGTATTAAGAGTAAATGAAGAAGAGAAAGAGGGAGGAAAAGAGAAGGTAGAAGGAGAGGGGAGGGAGGGGTAGAGAAGGTAAATGAAGAAGAGGAAGAGGAATGAAAGGAGAAGGTAGGAGAAGAAGTGCAAGGAGTAAAGAAGATAGAGGAAGAAGAAAATGATATAAGTAGGGAGAAGATGATGAAGAGGAGGAAACGTGGTAAAAGATGAGGATGAGCGGAGAGAGAAGGATAAAAAACGAAGTTCAAAATTTCTGCAGTTTCTTCTTTCTTCCGGTTCTTATCTTCATTTTCTCCTTCCTCCTCTTCTTAGCCCTATCTCTTCTTACTCTTCTTCTCTTCCTCTTTCTCCTTCTCTCTCTTCCGGGAATAGATGGGCCATAATCTGACAATTCTAAGAGTTCCCCCTGTTTCACGACCCGAGTCTGTCAGACCAGGGTCAGAGAGGAGTAACGACTAGATCAAGGATGGACTTCTCAGAAATCCATCGAAAAAAACTCGTATTTCCGAGGGAGCAATTTGGCAACGTTTGAATGTACATACGGTGTTTTTTCTCAGCATGGCAACACGAGCGTGCCTCAACGAGGACTTCCTACGGACGGTTCCAATATCCAATATTGGAATACTCGTGTTCTCGCATTGATCCACGGATTCGTAACTTGATGCTTGAAGAGGCCATTGCGCCAAGTCGAATTTAGTGCCCGCTCTTGTTCTCGAGATGGGTTCGGCTCCTAAATTGGACGTATTTCTGCCAAAAGGAACCATGTGCATTGAGACATGAGCCCCGAGACCCATAAGAATACATGCATAACAGGGCTCATGCCTTAATACACATAGTTCCGTTTGGCAGAAATACGTCCAATTGACCGTCACTTGGCGCCTTTGATAGAATGAGCTACCGGACGACGGATGATATTACAACATGGCAAGGCATGGTACCTCATCAAAAATTTACGTTGCTTATCATGGAAATGTCAAAACTCGACGCGGAAACAACACTTTAACGTCAAAAGCGGCATCGCATCCATGTTAAGCACTTGTTATCGTCATCGGTGAAAATAGACCCGGAGACAGTGACATATCTCAGTAGTTTTCCAAAAATACATTTTGAAATCCCTAAAATAAGACCGAAAATATCCGAACGAAAAATTTCGAATTTCAAATTGAAAGGTTAA